GCTAGGATTACAGGCGTGAGCCACCCCGCCCGGCCCACAATGCATGTTTTTTAGAATTAAATTGTCAATATTAATTGCAACAATAAGAACATCAACAAGATTTTCACAAATCACATGCAGGGTTTTGCTTCACGAGACCCCTGGGCTCAAAACGAGCCTGAGTTAAATACAACTCATATGGCAGTCAATGTGTTACTTTAAAATGCATCTGTTGTGCTCGCTTCAGTAGCACATATACTAAAATTGGAATGATACAGAGATTAGCATGGCCCCTGTGCAAGAATGACATGCAAATTTGTGAAACATTTCATATTTTTATAAATTTCTGTTCTTTATACATTAAAAAATACAATAAAATGCATCTCTTGTAGACAATATATAGTTAGATCAAATCTCACTTTCATTATCTAATCTCACAATCTCTGCCTTTTGTTGGAGTGTTCAGTGTAGTCCTATTTAATGTAATTATTATGATTGGATTTAGTTTTGTCATTTTGTGATCTGTTTTCTATTTATCTAAGCTTTTTCGGTTTCATTTTTTTTCGTTCCTGTTACTCCTTTATTTCCCTTTTTTGGCATATCATTTAAATTAATCTGTTGACTTTTTAGTTTATAGTTCAGTATATGCTCACTTGTGTGTGACATTTTTCTAGGTCAAGGCTTCTTAATTTTGGCACTATTGACATTTTAGACCAGATAGTTCTTTATTGTGGGGACTTTCCTACACATTGCCAAATGTTTAGCAGCATCTCTGGTTTCTATGTACTAGATGCCAGTAGTACATTCCCTAGGTTGTAATAACCAAAAATGTAGTAACTAAATATCACTTGGTTGGGGGGGCAATCACTAGAGAACCACTGCATACAGGGGATTACAGCATACATCATTTAGGAATCAAATTCCCCTTGAAATAAATAGTGTTTTCTGGTACTGAATAGGGACTTTGTACCATATAGCTCCATACTTCCCCTTGGAGCTATTTTTTTAAATATATATGACATCTATATTCATGACAAATCTAACATCGTAGAAGTACACTTTTGCTTTAGTTATGTTTCATTTGAAGAAATTCAGAGCAGAAAAGATAAAATATATATAAAATATTTTATATTTACCCATATATTTACTATGTCTAATATTCTTCACTCCTTCTTGTAGCTCCAAATTACCATCTTGTGTCATTTCTGTTTTAGCCTAAGACTTCCTTTAGCATGTCTTGCGACACAAGTGTGCTAGCAATAATTTTTTCCAATTTAAGTTGTTCAGGAAATATTTTTATTTTGCCTTTTTACTAGATATAAAATTATTGGATATCATTTTTTCCATACCTTTAAATATGTTATTCCAGTGTCTTCTGACTTTCATGGATATGATGAGAAATCAGGTATTAATCATATCATTGGTTCCCTATATGTGGTGTCTCATTTATTTTCTTGTTGGTTTCAAGATTTTCTAGTTTTGGCTTTCAACAGATCAAGCGTGATGTATTTTCCTTGTGATTATCCTATTTGGGGTTTTTGGTGCTTCTTGGATTTGTGAGTTAATATCATCAAATGTGCAAAGTTTTTGGCCATTATTTCTTCAAATATTTTTCCTGCCTCTCTTTTTAGCTTTCCTTCAGGAACTCAATTTACACATATGTAGAGACATTTGATATTGTACCACAGATCTCTAAAGCTCTGTTTGTTTTTTACCAGTCTTTTCGTCTCTGTTCTTCAGATGGAAGATTTCTATTAATCTACCTTCAAATTCACTGATTCTGATGTTGAACTCTATTGAATTTTTCATTTCATTTATTGAACTTTTAAACTCCACAATTTTGTTTGGTCCTTTTTATACTTTCTGTTTCTCTGCTTAGATTCTCTTTTCACTCATACTGAGCATATTTTCCTTTAATTCATTGGAAATATTCATAATAGCTGCTTTGAAATCTGGTTGCTAAAGTCAATATCTGGTTCCACTCTGAGTTATAATAATTTCTGTTGACTTTTTTTGCTTAAAATGAGATAACACTTCCTTTTTTCTTTGTGGTCTGGTATTTTATGGTTGAAAACCTGACGTTGTAAAGAATATGTTGTACCAATTCCAGATTGTTTTGTTATGAGAGTTTTTACTTTTTGTATTAGTATGCAATTGCTTTCCCTAGACTCAAACTGAAATGTCTTTACCACAATACAAAGTCTCTGATGTCTCTGCTCAGTTTTGTGTTTGTTTGTTTTCGTTTTTTTGTTTAAAGCCTGATTCCCCAGGGTTCTTTACTGTGCTGGAAGTTTATCAACCAACCAATAATGTAGACAGAGTTTATGTTCAGACACCTTAAGCCAGTAATGCTCTTTTAGTTGTGTATGGCTTGAGGAAGGTACTTAAAGAACACAAAATTTATTAATACAATTTCCCTCAGGCTTTTAATTTTTGCCAGGCTTCCTGGGATCTCCTGTGTGAATGTGTAGTTTAGCAATTGGTCAATGATGTCTGGAGAGTTTATCTCAGCCCTTCTATGACTGTCTCACTTTAGGACTCTCATCGTAAAATTTCCAGCTATTTTGTCACCCAATCCAAATGGAATCTGCCATTATTGCCCCAGTAAATTTGCAGGTTTTCACTACATCGGCTGGAAGGATAGCAATGCCTTCAATAGAAATGCCACAACTTTGGAGTTCTTACCTGATTTAGTAGCAGGATTTTTTTTGTGTGTGTGAAAACACTTTTCAAGTAGTTGTGAGCATACAGTCACTTACTACTGCTCTGAAATAGTTGATTTTAATAATTGTTAATAATAAACTTGTTTTTTTGTGTAGGGGAATTGGCCAAACTCCCCATGCTGCCATTATCAGAAATAGGATCCCCCACATTATTTTATTCTTTTTTTTTTTTTTTTTTTGAGACAGAGTCTCACTCCATTTCCCGGAGTAGAGTGCCATGGCATCAACCTAGCTCACAGCAACTCAAACTCCTGGGCTCGAGCAATCCTACTGCCTCAGCCTCCC